TTATAGTAGAAACAATTCCTACTTTTTGAATAAACTAATCAACAGACCATCCCCTTATTTAAATAATCAAAGAACCATTCTCTCATTTAAATAATCAAAAGGCCATACTCTTATTTAAATATTCAAAGAACCATTCTCTCATTCAAATAATCAAAAGCACATAACTCTTTTCTTCTTCTCTGATTTTCGAAAGTTATATACAAAAGAGAAGAGTTGTTTAAAATTTATAAACTCAAGTTTTATAAAATATAAACTTTGTCTTTTGAGTAAAAGACAAAAGAGTTTCAACTAGTCCATAAAGTTGTACGTAACTTATTAATTCATACCATATGAATTATATATAATGTTACTTGCTAATGAAAATTATTATTTCCTAGAAATAAATAATTTCCATTTTAATTTTAAGAGTTTATTGAATATTTATTAAAACCAATTTTTAATAAATAATCAATTGTATCAAGTTGTTGTTAGTGTAACCCATTAGTATCATATGTTAATTAGCAATATCACTTTAATATGACTCTTGAGCATACTAGACCTTTCAATCAGAAGTACCTAAAACAATAAACTGAAACTGTAAGCCAAAGCTTAGTGAGTTCCCTCAAAATATCATCACATAACATATAAAATACATAGATTAGCATGTTGGGTCCACAACCTCCCGGTTGGATTGCCCTGCATACCACATACTGGGTCCACAACCTCCCGATTGGATTAACTTGCATTCATGTACTGGGTCCACAACCTCCCGGTTGGATTACCATGCATACCATGTACTGGGTCCACAACCTCCCGGTTGGATTGCCCCAGTCTATTGACTGACAACACAAAGTAGTAGTCTCAACCCCAACATGACATGTCGACATATTACAGATAATATACACATTCAACAGACATATAATTATCCAACGGTAATCACAGGTAGTCCTACAGACCTACCGATATAACGCATATCAACAACTATAAGATAAACATACATGCCTATCGCATACTCAACATAACATCAATCGGTATCTAACATGATATCAATCCATTGGGCCAGCCTTGGTACCTTCGACCCACAAGTACAGTGAGGAAGACTCACCTCTCAGTCCAAAAAGATCTCTGGCAGAAAACAGCTCCAAATGACAGCTCGACTGGTCACCTAAACACCAAATAATGACCAAACTCAAATACCACTCAAATTACCTAAAATACCCTTGGGTCAAACTTGGTCAAACCCTGGTAAAATTCAAAATCAATCCGTACTCAAAAGTACCATAGGTGCCCAAAGTTAGAAAACTAGTGGCCCAGCAAGGCCCAAAAACCCAATCACCGCGTCTCACGTCGTGACCAAATCCATGGTCACGTCGTGAGAGTCACTCGTTCTGATTCCAAAGACTCGCTCCTGACGCAGACAACTCAGCAAGGGAAAGGTTTTGCATGATCACATCGTGAGACCTCATGTCTCACATCGTGAGAACGGTCTGAAGTCCAAATCAAAGATTCAATGTTCTTAATCCATTATGCCTTCAATTTCAATTCTTACAGAAGCTTAAGGGGACCCTAAAGGTACACAAAAATGCTTGCTTTATGGATATGCATGCATCATGCATGTCCCTACACCATTTAAGGTTAAAATTAGAAATATGGCCTCAAGTTCTCACGCAAGCTTCCAATACTCTACCAACTTCCAGATCTGAATGATATAAGACTCAAAAGGCCAATTGAATCCATAAAGTTGCTAAATTTATGGATCTTCTTCACTCCAATAAGCTATAACATAAGGAAATGGGACCAAAAACCTAGATCTAGCCATGAAATGGAATAAAGCTTGAGTCTTGATACTTACAATGGTCCAAACAAGAGAAGAGATGATGACAAGAGAAGATATATGAGTTGTAATTTACAAGTCGGTTGTGCAGTGATATTGCAAAAACGCATCAATAACATGATGTTATAAAATTTAGTGTCATGTGCGATTTTGTGAGTGAAAGATACAAACATATGAGTAAAAGTTTATTTGTTCCTTTTGCCTTAACGGAAAAATCGATATTTGTAGGCCCCTCGATGATTTGGTGTTGACTTATAGAGTTGGGCCTAGCCATGACTAAATTGATGTGTTTAATTAGAAGTCTTATGACATCATCACAAATCAGGAAATTGGGAAACATAATTTTGGACAATGAGATTGATTCTAATCCATGTCTCATGTCCATATGATATCTAGAATAACGGAGGAATATTTGATCACTTATCTTTGGACAAATGTCTGTTTAGTTCAGAGTTCGGCAATTGCTATGGAATCACTCTTTGCTGTTTAATTTAGAGGTTATACCAGTAATTTAGTTTTAGACTTATCCAAGTGGGAGACTGTTGGATTAGGTGTCTAAGCCAATAACTAAATTAGTATAATCTTGAATTATTAGCAAGGTCCTTTTGGGTTGCCCTCAAACCTAGTAATTGAATAAGATGAATTTTAGAGAGAGAGACTGATTTATTGATTTATTATATGATTAATTAATAGAAATAAATGAATTTATTAATATGTTATGAAAATAATATATTAATTAGAAATAGTAATATTTAATTAAGAATTAATCAGAAATTAATTAAATTAATTTTGGGATTAATTGGATTAATTAAAAGTGCATGGGTCTATTTTTTATGGTACAATAGTTGAGCAAGAGGTTCCAGAACCTTCCTTGGAAGGGGTGGATGGTTTCTAGGGTATTACAAGGCATCTGGAATATTCCTTGCAGATAAATAGGAAGCTGGATAATTACCACTTTGAAATAATATTATTTTTGTTCAAATTAAGGCTATCTAGGGTTTCCTAATTATAGTATAACTAGACCCTATGAGCTACAATTTTCGGTCACTCCATTCTCATAAGAAAAGGCCAAAAATTTGATTTTCCCTATCCTCTCTCTCTCTCTCTCTCTCTCTCTCTCTCTTCAAGTCTCCTAGTTGCTAGAGTTGGGTGTGAACCATCATAGGCACGAGATTTCTGGTGCTTGCTTCCAAAAGCTTTGAAGAAGGGTTTTAGATTTGTTTACTATAATAAATCAAAAGCTATGTAATCTTCCGTTATGAATTCTGATTTCATTAGGGTTATTGTAGATTGATAATTCATAGTATGTTGCCTTTATGTAAAAGACATAGATCCCTTTAGGTTGCATGTGCCCTAATCATTTAATTGTTAAATGTTTTTCCGCTTAGAGCATTATCGTTGTAACCTGCGTTTTCCCTCACCCTTAATGATGAAATAGTATGAATGTGGATTTTCTGATGTATTTTGGTTTGTTTTTCAGTATGGTGATCATTAGAGGTTTTGGATCAGGAGTTGGCGGCACAAAGAGGCCAAGTTTGTCTGATGATGAGATTCGCGAGATAATCACCACCCATGTGACCATGGTTGTTAAGGAGGCGATCTCGAATGTATTTGGGTCTATTAAGACTGCCATGACCAATATGTTTAACGATCATTATACTGCCGTCATAGAGGTTGTTGTTGTCGTAGCCACTACAGTTGTTGTTGCTGCGGGACTCCAGGGGAGAGGGACAGTGTAGTACCGAGACTTTAGCAATACGAAGCCCCTGGAGTTCGACGGGGTCAAGGATCCGATCATTGTGGCTATCTAATGTGGAGGATTGTTTCTTCACCTGCTCGTGTACATAGGACCAGAAGGTCAAGTTTTCCTTGAACCTTCTTCGTTTGGGGGCGAAGGACTGGTGGAAACTGGTGACCAGTGCTTATTCTCATGCGGAGAAGGCCGCACTGACATGTGAGCAGTTTATGGAGATGTTTCGTACTGAGTATGTTCCACTGGTGGAGAGGGAGAGGTTAGCCCATGAGTTTTTGTCGCTGAAGAAGACAATAGAGTCGATAACAGAGATCACCAAGATGTTTACATAAAGAGCCTTTTATGCCCTAAGTATGTTGTTTTAGAGCAGGTTTAGATGTCTCGTTACTTGAGCATGCTCAAGATGGAGATCCATGAGTTTATGTCAACCCAATGGTATGGTTCCATCTCCAAGTTGCAGTCCCTCGCTTGGAGGAGGGAGATTGAGATTGAGACCCAAACGAGAGAGAAGTGGTTGACCCCCGTTCAGTCACAACCAACAACGAAGCGGTTTAACCCCGCTGATTCATGATCCGGAGGACAGAGGGGTTGCACTTGTGGCAAGTGCGGGAAGATGCATGAGGGAACATGCCGATCAGCTACTGGGTGCCACAAATCTGGCAAGAATGCGCATTTCGCAAGGGATTGTCGTCAGCAGTCTCCGTTATCGAGTACCAGGATTTGTTACCACTGTGATCGGGTTGACCATGTAAAGGTCAACTATCTCTTGCTCGCCGCCAGACCAGTGCATGCACCAACATCGACTACTTTGAGGATTACTGATGGACGTCAGGAGAGAGCTGAGACCCCAAAGGCTAGGGGTCAAGCTTTCCAGCTCACAACAGAGGAGGCCAGGGCAGCGTCTGACGTCGTTACTGGTATGTATTCATTTATTTTATGTTAAGTTGTTTCATGTATGCTTATGCTTGTATTTCTGATAGATACTTTCTTAATGAATTCTTTGCTTGCTCTTGTGCTTTTTGACTCGGGTTCGAGTCGGTCATTCGAATCTTAGGTTCATTAGGTTTATCCTATATTCCTGTGTAAATTGAAGAAGCAATCACCATGGTTAAAAAGATTTTATGGTGGTTGCTGGATACAATAGTTGTCATGTCTTTCGGAGATGACGATGATGATGACGACGACGCCGAGGGGGATGGTATCGTTTGTAACAATGGTGGTGGTCCCATTTACTTTATATAATTACAATAACAAAAATAAATGTTAAAAATATTAAAAAGAAATAAATAAGGGTAAAATTGTATTTTTATGTATGGTAGGGACCAATATACAACAAAATAAAATGTAAGGTATCCCGAGTTAAAAAAATATTAAGAACTGAACGTATAAATTACATGAAACTTTAATTTACTTTATAATTTTCTTTGTTTGTCGTGTAGATGCTGCCTTTTACCTTTTGGCTTTTGGTGACCTGGACCAGGACAACATCAAGGATTTTCGTTCCAATTCCGACTCGTTATCAACATCATCATCCAGAATTCTTTCTTATCACAGTCACCCCACCCCTGTCGATCTTCTGAAAATACCCAATTCATTCATTCATTCGATCAAAATTCAAAATGCTTCCACATACCCAATCTATGACTTCACCTCTCCCATCTATCTTCTCCCCAAAACTTCCAATTTCTCATTCCAAACCCATCTTTAACTACAAACCTCGCTTCGATCCTCCCAAGTCCTTACTTCTCCAGCCTTTGAGATGTTCGGTTTCTCTGGCGCCCGAACAAACCCATTTACAATCAAATGCCACCACCAAGAGTAATAAACCCTCCCCAGCTGAAATTTCAAGAACAATCATGGAGTTATCCTCTGTTGGCACCTTTTCAACTACGGCCCAAGACAATTGGCCTCTTGCTGTTGGTGTTCGCTTCGCCGTTGACCCAGAAGGCACACCAATTGTTTGCTTAAGTGCTTCTCATCACCATTTCGCTAACGACAAAAGGTCCTCCCTTAATGTTCAGGTATTTGCGAAAATCTTTGATTGTTTTTCAACCTACATCCATTTTGCTTCTTGTCGCACGATTTATGTTTTCTATGACTGATTATGTACTTCTGCTTAATAAGTTAGAGCAATCTGGTCTGCGAACAACACAGTGCACCATCCAAGGTAGCCTTCACAGACCTGACGATGAAATTCTCTTGAAGGTACTTCTTGTATTAGGCTCCATTAATATCACACTTCTGTGTGCAATTCTATTTACGAATCTTAAGATTCTCATCGACATTTCAAGCTTCTATTTTTTTGACAGAAGATTAAGTCACTATGGGCAAAGAGATTTGGAGAAAAAGCGGACAATGAGTTCATCCATATTCTTGATGTGCAACGTGTACTGCAAATGGACAACTTCATGGAGGTGTGTAATTTGGTAACTTGTGCATATAAATTACTTAATTTCATGATAATCTGATATTCAAAGACAACAAATGCAGGATGGTGTATGGGTTTCTTCTTCAGATTATGGACTTGCAAATGCTGATCCACTTAAAGATTCTGCTGAGCGTCTAGTTCATGAGATAAACACAAATAACATGGAAGATGTTCTCCGGTTTTGCAATGTCTTTGTGGATTCAGATGTACAGGTGTCAGAATATGTCATAAAATTAATCTCTTCTTTATGATATGCTCTGAATGCATATATCTTTTGGTTGTTCAGGTGTCAGAAGCAAAGATGGTGTGGGTTGATCGATTAGGGTTTGACATACATCTGTATTCTCCCCAAAATGATGTCTTTGAGATCCGGATTCCTTTCCCTAGAGAAGTTACAGATGAGAAAGGGGCAAAATCGTCTTTTAATGGTATGTCCCAGACAGCATGGGAAGTAGAAAAAAACTACCATACCCTAGAATTTGAGAAAGTAAAACAATTGAAGAAAATAGCCTCCAAGGTACAATGATTACAAGTTTCCTGATTTTGAGCATACCATTTTGTAAGATGAGTTATATTTTGATTAATCAATAAGGAAAATACAGTCTGTTTTATATACATATACACAAATAGCAAATATGTACATGATTATGTTAGGAAAGAAGCCATGGAAGATCAAGCTGCAACATTTGCTGGTGAGAAATGACCTGTAACAACATTCTTGATCTTCCCCATCAAGCTTGTACACTTGGCACTAGAACCATACTTATCCAACTTTGACCTAAACATGGAAGTCAACATATTCTCTATTTTCTCATCACTATATTTTAAATACTTATTACTATTAGGACTATGAGTAGCTCCACTTTCCACTAAGGTCTTGTAAACAGGGACTACAACTTCCATAATCATCTGGCAAGTTTTCCATCTCAAATCTCTATCACACAACACCCATTCAGATTGTTTTCTAAACACTTGATCAAATACATCATTGAATCCTTTCATTTTGTTTCTGTCATTGTTGCTTAATAAAGCTGGAATTCTCCCCCAACTTTCTTTCAAATAAAGTGATGTGTAGTATTCTATATGAACTTCATGTCGTTTTATCCAAGATTCCCCCATTAGATCCCCAAGCTTTGTACCCTTTAGATGTTTGCTCAAGTAGCAACTGGTGTTCATCAAGAAAATATAAGATAAAGAAGCATCTTCATATCTTTTTGCCCATGTGTCCAAGTTAAGTTCTAGTGATTTCACTATGTTTTTAATTTCAACTGAAACAATTCCCTTTGTGAACTTACTTTCATTATGCCAACTGGAGTGGATCTTTAGAACTTGTTCAAGTTCATGTTTGTATTCATCATCTAACAACTCGTTAGCATATTCTGTTACAAAGATAACCAATTTTGGAATTGTCCCATCTGGTGGAGGGTCGTTTAGTCTTTGTAGCTCAACTTGTGCTTTAAGGTCTTGAAAAATTTCACATGCCCCATTGACCACATTCTTGAGTAATCCCCTAGTTTGACTTTGAATTTCTGAACATGGTTTTCCTTTTCCACCAAAAATTCTGTTGAAATCTTGTCTGAGATTGTTGAGAGTGGTAAAGATGTCTAGGAGCTTGAAAAGTTTGATTGCTTCTTTCTTACACTTTGTAATTGTGTTCCCGAATTTGATAAAACTCTGTATTCCCGATTGGAGGGCGATTTTGGAAAAGCAATATTTCCACACGTTGACTTCAATGCTCTTACTAAACACGTGTTCACAGAGTGTGTACTCAAGTTCAAGAAGATGCTTAACTACAAACTCCAAATGTCTCCCCCATTCGTCTATATAACCTTCTACTTCTTGCACGCTATGAAATTCTGTTAATGTAATCTCCAAATAATCCAAATCAAGACCTTCTAAACTTCTATGGACAATTGTGCCCCTGATCTTTATATAAACATGAATGCATTGGTCCACAAGATTGTTGCATGAAAAGCATGCAACGATATCTTGTAGGTTTTTGACAATGGGGAAAGGTAAAGCTTCTGGTATTGGATCAAATACATCACTTTCATCATCACCAGATGAGAAAAGAGACAAAGGAACTTGAAGAGGGAAACTGTTTTCGATTAAAAGAGTTGTGAATTCATGTTTTAAATTCTCAAAAGCAACATTTAGAATTCCATGTTTGAGAAGAGAACGTTCTTCAAACCTTTGCAACTCTTTAAGTATATGGAGAGTTTTAGAGACATTGGAGTGGTAGAGGTTGTCAACAATGGTTGTGTTGATGTCTTCCACCCATAGGATGGCTAAGTTGCATGTGTTGGTGAGAAGAGTGAGTGCTTGGCTGAATCTTTTGAGGAGAGAGAGGTGGTGGTGGAGGTCGGGAGATGGGTGGTGGTCTGAGAGTAAACCCCCGAGCTCCTCCACCACTTGGTAGACCTGGAAGACGGCGGAAACGGGTGGAAGTGCACGGTGGAGGTGGTGGTGGAGGGTGGAGAGAGAGGGGATGTTTGTGATGTGGGATTTGGAAGAATTGATACGGGAGAGATTGGTGGTGGTTTGGTGGATTTGGAGGTCTAGTTGGGTGGATTGGTGTAAGGTGGTTTTGAGAAGATCTCTAGTGCGAATGAGATGTTCCATTTTAGGGAGAGTTGTGATGATGAAGACACATTGAGATGGTGTTATTATGGGATAAATCTTAAAAGGGTTTTGTTTGGTTTCTTGGGAGGTTTAATTTCTTTACCAAACATACCAAATGAGAGTAGTGGAAGATATATTCAAACCAAACTTCACTGCTAAATTGTTATGTCTTTACTCATACTCATGCTTTGCTTCATCTCACCAACTCCAACTCTCTTTTTTTGCTATGAAAACAAAAACAAACCATTCCTTCATCCTTCTACACAACCTTCATCGTCCAAATCAACCCATAACAAAGTTTTTTTTCTCAATAATCAAAATATAACTCAGTTGGTGTCAAGGTGGCATATTTGTAAAAAAAATGTCGGTGTTCGAGAATTAGAAACCGCAACAATGGAGTTTTAATTTCAATGGAGATTGAGCTTCTTATGGACAATGGACCCTTATGTTAGCCACCTAGTTACATGATGTATATTTGATCTTAATACGGGACAATAATGGATATCGACTCGAAGGTCGTTGGAAAACTGACTTATAATTATCAAATTAAGAACGATAATAATCATTATTAAC